AATCAAAGCTCAGGATTTTATAGGCGATTTGATACACACGATTTTGATGAAATTAGTAGGGATTTTTATTTTAGTTTGAAAACAGAGGAATATCTGCAAATTGATAAAGCCTCTGTGTTGAGGGTTTTACAAACCACCCAAAAACTAAAAGCCGTGGGCTTGATAAAGTCAGTGGAGAGTTTTGAGGAGCTGTGCTTATCAGCGCTGTGATATCAGGCATTTCATTTTTCAGACCTCATTGAGATTACAGAGAGTGCCTTCAGTTGTTTCTATCAAAAGCTAGATCAGTGTTTATATCTGAACTTTAAACTTTTATCCCATTACTTCTATTTAAGCTGTTTCATGCCAACTCTCTCTGGGTCAGCGGCAGCGCCAACACAGATGTAAAGTGTAGCGATGTGATTTAGTCAAAGGTTTAATAGAGGAATTGTAAGAAGATGGTGTGTGTGTGTGAATGGAGATCACAGTATTGTAAAGCTGAATCGGTCAGCTCTACTGTCTTATCTCTCTCTCAGCATATGAGCAGCGCGAGGGCTTTCAGTGCTTCAGTCTCACGCCGCTTCCACACGTCCACTAGACAGGGATATTACGACACTCATAGATAACCACACGCTTCAGCCTCTGTTGGAGCAAGCTGGGTTTCCATGTTTTATGGGGACTTTCCATTAGAGATGGGATTTATGGCTCTTTGAGGAGATCCGGATCTTTGCGATCCGTTCCTTTCAAAGAGCCGTTCAAAAGAACGGCTCTTTTGGCTCTTTTTAAATATTTAGTCAGTTTAAAGAAGCCAGCTTGGGGGAATCTCAGTTTATCCTGGAAATAATCACTGGGAGGAATGATGAGGTGAGATTTGTAGTCAATTAATTAAAACTCAGATATCACACACCAATATCTGAGTTTGAATTATTCTGAAATATTGATTATTACCTCATTTGTCATGTGTGGACTATATTCCATAGGGTTGCACAACATCCCTCTGCTTAGAAAGTGATATCACTATTTTGGATTTACCTTTAGTACAAAGTATGTGTATGTGTAAAGCTATGTTGACTTATGTTATTCATACAATACCACAAGAACATTTTGATAAAAAACAAAAACTATTTAAAGTTGTAAATATATACTGTAGATACAATAACATGAACACAAAATGCAATGTAAATAAATACAAAGCAGTTCCTTTGTATTTATTTACAAAGGAACTTAGTGTTACTTTAGTGGGGTTTTTTTTTTTTTTTTTAACTGGAGTAACCATGTGACGGCATAAGTCATTGGCTCTGCTCCTACCCAATGACAGCACGTAGGGTTTTTTCCCACTGGAGTACTCACGTAAGGGATGCGCGCGCGTGCACAACTATCATCATGCTGTTAGGCAGTAGCACCCCTGCGCTGGGTGCGCCCCTTCCCCTATAACTGAGGAGCTAATTTGTGTGCATCTGTGTGAAACACGCATGAAAAAAGAACGACAGAAAGAACGGCTCCCCTCCAGCCGCGACTCGGCTCCCATCGTTCATGTTTATGAGCCGTTCAAAAGAATCGGTTCGTTCGCGAACGTCACAACTCTACTTTCCATAGAAATACTGATTTTTATTCTGTACAAACTGTATATTCAATCCCCTAATCATAACTGATGTATTTTAACAAAGTGAACTGATGAGTATTTCTATACATTTCATGTTGACAGCATTATGTTATTTATTGTTTAAGTGTTATATTTATCTCTGGATAAAGGCTTAACCCTTGTGTTTTCTTCATTTGGGGCCGACACTAGTTATCTTTGGGGTCTCCAGGGACCCCAGACAAAAACATTTAATTTTGTAACACAATAATAGTTTTTTTTTTTTTTTTTTACAAATGTAATTTGACTGTAATTTTGATATATTTAAAATTTCTATAAATAAATAAATAAATATTTATTTAAATAGGCTTTTTACAAAAAAAAACAACATTTTATGTAAAGTTCACTTTATAAAAGACCCAGATTTCTAACATTCATGGGGATAACATGGATAACTTTATATGGTTTAATGTAAGATTTGTGCCCATTTTTTTGGAAAATGCAGTTTAAAAAAAAAAAAATAATTTTAACCACTAGATGGCTGTAGAGTTCCACTATTTGATATTCGATTAACTAAATATATATTTTTACAAGTTGGATTCAGTTGGATTCATACCGAAATAGTATAAAATCACAATTATAACAAAAATAAAATACTTTTGTCAAAGTTTAGCATTTTTGTACTGAAAAAGTTTTTCAATAATGTTATGATTAGAATCAAACCTGAACAATGTTACAAAGATACATTTTTAGATTTTATCATTTATTTCAATCGTCTGTTTTTAAAATAATTCTAAAATTGTAATCAACATTTCAGTTACTAACTAACAGAACAAAAATTATTAGAAATGAACAGTTATATTACATATTGAGTAAAAATACATGACATGAACATGAACAGCAATAACAAATGAGTTTTTTATAGCCTTACAAATGTATTCCTGTGTGTGTGTGTGTGTGTGTGTGTGTGTGTGTGTGTGTGTGTGTGTGTGTGTGTGTGTGTGTGTGTGTGTGTGTGTGTGTGTGTGTGTGTGTGTGTGTGTGTGTGTGTGCACATTTTCAATGTGTCAGTGTCACCAATTTATTTTTGTTATGTTTCTGCATTTTGGATGATTTTATTTTACAAATGATAAGAGAACAGTTTTTATACGTATATATGGTTTAATATATGGTTTGACGCGTCGATAAGAGCATGGTTGTCTATGCAACAAGGAATTCGCTATTGCTATTAGTGTAGTGTAGTGTAGTGTAGCCTTACAAATGTATTCCTTTGTGTGTGTGTGTGTGTGTGTGTGTGTGTGTGTGTGTGTGTGTGTGTGTGTGTGTGTGTGTGTGTGTGTGTGTGTGTGTGTGTGTGTGTGTGTGTGTGTGTGTGTGTGTGTGTGTGTGTGTGTGTGTGTGTGTATGTGCACATTTTCAATGTGTCAGTGTCACCAATTTATTTTTGTTATGTTTCTGCATTTTGGATGATTTTATTTTACAAATGATAAGAGAACAGTTTTTATACGTATATATATATATATATATATATATATATATATATATATATTAATATGTATATATTAGGGCCGGGACTTTAACGCGTTAATTAAGATTAATTAATTACACACTTTAACGCGTTAATTAATTACACAAAAAATTATTTTTAATTTTGCACCGCGGAACGTTTCTCACTGGATGAGTTTCGGCGGACCGATTATACTGGCGCACCAACTAGCGTTCATGACGAAGAAGCTGACGAGATCGCTTTGGTTGGCCGGTGGATGGGAAATGTTGTTACAAAAAACGAACGGATGGACGCGTCGATAAGAGCATGGTTGTCTATGCAACAAGGAATTCGCTATTGCTATTAGTGTAGTGTAGCAATATGCTATTTTGTTGCAATATGCTATTGCTACACTTAATGGCAAAAATTGCACTGGTCTGCTGGACTTGGTTGAACAAAAATAAACAATATTTTGTTGCTTAAAGGTGCCATGTGGAATGTCTGCCAAAAAATAAATTCATACTCCACATATTCCATACCAGATGGGGGCAGTATACCTCCAGAAAGTTGGCCTATAGTCTGTTTTTTAGTTTCGGGTTGTTAATCTTCTAAAACCGTCAAATCGTCCGCTTTGTCCCGCCAAAGCCTATTTTGATCGGTGAGTGATGTAGAATATAATGACTGCTGCGCTTGACAGGGCTTATAACGAGCAGAGAGAGAGAGAGAGAGAGAGAGAGAGAGAGAGAGAGAGAGAGAGAGAGAGAGAGAGAGAGAGAGAGAGAGAGAGAGAGAGAGAGAGAGAGCGAGAGAGAGCGAGAGAGAGCGAGAGAGAGCGAGAGAGAGCGAGAGAGCGAGAGAGAGCGAGAGAGCGAGAGAGAGCGAGAGAGCGAGAGAGAGCGAGCGAGAGAGAGCGAGAGAGCGAGAGAGAGCGAGAGAGAGCGAGAGAGAGCGAGAGAGAGCGAGAGAGCGAGAGAGAGCGAGCCCCGGCCGCGCGCGCGCACTCTCTCTCACGTCTTCAAACAACACGAGCGCTGCCCTGCTCTCTCTCCCTCGCGCATATTAATCAAATCAATTGACACGATAGTAAGACTGCAGTTCATTTGGAGATTTTTAGAGATTAGAGACTCAATGAACAACATCTCAACACTAAATTATAAAGGCCGGTCTCATATAGACGCGATTGACATCAGGTTAAAGTACGCCCACAAGCCGTGCGAGTTATTCGTGTACTGTAGTTTGGCTGGTGGTTATGTATGTTGCCCGCATACCGCCTCCCATGGCCGAAACTGGTATTACGACACCAGTCGGGCCGGCGCTAGTAACTTAGCATGCTAATTTAGGTTTATATCTCGGCAGCACTATAACTTGGCAATTTTTTAATGACATCATTGCACTTATTTCTTCTCATTCTTTTGATCCGTGTAGCTCATTTTTTGGATAATTTTACCTCAATTTTTACATAGAGCACCTTTAAGCTTATGTATGCAGTCATTATTCAATGGTATACTAAAAATCCATGTGAAAAAAATTACTTCTCACAGTTCTCAGGTCAAATATTTATGCGATTAAAATGCGATTAATTTCGATTAATTAATTACAAAGCCTCTAATTAATTAGATTAATTTTTTTAATCGAGTCCCGGCCCTAGTATATATTTCTGTCTGTGTGTTCTGCGTTGTTTCTGATTTTGATGATGAATTTTGTATATTTACTATGCGGGGTCTCCAGGGACCCGAAGACAACTAGTGTCACTATCTTTTTCACGCTAACATAAAAACAGAAATCATTACAATTTTTTATTTTTTTTTGTAGATCTAGAAAGTGTTGAGAGCCGTAGAAAGTTTCATACCATTTGGACAAAGATAATTATTTTAAAAATTTGAGCAAAAGTCATTTGCGGGTTAAAAAGACCCTGAAGAAAACCAGAGGCTTAATGTGTGTCATTGTTCTCTACAGGTTGTGGTATTGTGGAGTCACAGATGAAGGTTGTGTTGCTCTGGCTTCAGCTCTGAGATCAAACCCCTCACACCTGAGAGAACTGAATCTGTCATATAATAAACTAGGAGACTCAGGAATAAAGCATCTTTCTGATCTACTGGAGAATCCTCTCTGTAAACTGGAGACACTGTGGTAAGATCATCTCTACCATAAAGACTCTGAGTGAAGAAGGATTAATATGTAGATAGTGTGTACAATATATGTGTGGCGTAAGCCCCATCCGGGGTTAAAAATAATAATAATGCTATCAGTCAAATTCATCTTTACTTTGTTTATTTTGTGTTATTTTTGAGAAAGAAGAATCACTCCATCACATACAAAAGGAACAATTACACTTAATGCGACCAGTTTGAAATAACGGTGACACTTTATCACAAGTATACAGTAACACAGCGCTTATAAATCATTTGCAAACTATTAGTTTATAGTTATAGTTTATAGTATATAAGCTGTTGTTAAATTAATTGTTACTAGATTGTAGAGCCCGACCGATATATCGGCGGGCCGATATTAGGCATTTTCCAAACTATCGGTATCGGCATTTATAATGGCCGATAAATGAATATTTTAAAAAATGCGGTTGAGGTGATTCATGTAAGGGTGGCGCTGCCAATAAAGCACCTAAAAGCTGTCACAAAGAACTGGCAAAAGTAATGATTATGAATACAACAAATATAGCAAGTAGGGGTGTAAATCGGAGCCTACATGGCGATTCGATACAATACCGATTTCTTAAGCCAACGATTCGATTATTTCCGATACTTCAGAATTCCCCGCGATACGATACGATTCGATACGATTCAATAGTCGATATTTTTACATGATATCTATTAAGTTTCAAATAAATCAACACATTTTTTTTATAATTTGCCTTTTATTGAGAATACAGGAACAGTATTCTATTCACATAATGTGTATGTTGTGCTCAATGCACTGCAAATAGAACAGCAAATATAACAGTTACTGCATACAGTTCTAAACTTGATTCTATCGAATCCTGGTGCGTTTCCGTGCATCTTACGTCATCGCAAACGTGCACGACGCATGATAGAAAACAGAACGCGGGTCAATATATTGTGTTTTTTTATTTTATTTGGTGCTATTATGCACAGCTGAGTGAACAACACCGGTTTACTGTGTGTCGCATTTGGCTTTTTGCTGATTGCAAACGCAGGAGACAGTGGATTTCCATTAATTTGTTGCCCTGAGTCCACGCGCTATGTGTGTGCGAATACAGACTCACTCTCGCTCTTGTCCAAGGTAAATTATCAACACTATCATCCCTTACATGTGTTTTATTTAACTAAATACATCATAATCAGCTAAAAAGCATGCGCAGGTCACTTACTTCCTGAACAAGTGCGCACCCGAGTCCGTGATGCTTTCACATTCACGTGAGCCGCGGCACGGTTCGAGTGCAACCGAACTCAGCGCACCTCCTCCAGGCAGTCTCGGGTTTGGTACCCCAGTGCGCACCCCGGTCCGCATGACAGACAGCGTTTACATAATTAGCGATTTTTCATGCGAACCGTGCCCGTTCCGATCCGAGTTGGTGTGAAAGCACCCTAGACTTTTCAAGTAAGCTGTTGAAGTAGCCTTTTGTACACGTTAGCGCCTGTTTGTTTACGTTAGTAACTGCTAGTTTGGAGTTCGCCAACTAAGTGACTGAGGGTGCATTCACACTGGCAGTTTAGTTCGGTGACTAACTAACGTTAGCCCAGTGCATAACAACAATCGTTTGTACGCATATGAGCGGATGCTGAAAATAGACAGGCGGCAAAACAAACACATTAATCGATACTCTTGCGGACGCATCGATGCATCGAATCGTCGGCTGTATAATCGATACGAATCGATTAATATTTACACTCCTAATAGCAAGGAGACATTTTAATTGTTTATTAATAAACAAGTGTTTTCAGTCAGTGTCAGCCAAAGATGAAGTTGACGAGGCTGACTCGCGATCTTCAGTGAAGATAGAGAGAAATGCACATTTCATACGATTACATGAGTCTGTCTGTCTTTCGTTTTGAATTGTTCTGTTTAAAAGTAGACATTTCAATATAGATATATTTCAATTCTCAGGTCTATACGCTGAGTTTCGGTTCATGAGACGAGCTCCAGTTCACCCGCAGGCGCCTCCGTGTCGAGATTATCTATCGTCTGCTATATTTACTTCTTAAATCCAGGCAATTGGTTGATGAAACATTGATTAAAATTAAGATACAATTAATTATACAAAACGAAATTCACTTTGAAACGAAAGGTTTTGTGCTTTCTGTTTGATGTCTATGTGAAAGTTTCAAAGCATTTTAGTGCCGCTTTCAGAGCGCTCACGTCCGTAGTGCTGAACTGTCGCGTCTGTAACATTGTTTTTTCCTCATAAATGCGAACACGAAAAATAAAATGAATATTTGATGTAGCCTGTGGAGCCTGAGAGCCAACCCTTCTTCATCCGGTGGGTAGTAGCCTACTTGTGATTTGCGCTGTGTAATTCACAGAATTGATTTCTCTGCTACAAGCCTCTGTCACGTATTGTGTGAGCTTGTGACTATTGCAAGCGCAGCTGAGAAGTCCTGATTATATTGTCTGCTATATTTACTTCTTATTTATTAAGGCAATTGGTTGATGAAACATTGATTAAAATGCGTGGCGCGAGCGATCTTCGACAGTAAACTGATTCTGCTTTGTCTCGGGTAATCAGCTGTTGCGCCGCGAGCAGTAACGGCCGTGTCCGGTGTAGACACAGTGTTAAAGCTCATTCTGCCTGATAACACTACGTTACAACATCAAGCAATATTCCAAAAATTTATATAATTATAACACTTTATATAGGGCCATTTTGCATTAAGAGTTGCCTAGTTTCACGTTTAATACATTTTGCTTACTAATTATTTAAAATAGTATAAAAGTACTGTATACATATCGGTCGGGCTCTAAAAGATTGTATTATTATTATTATTATTAGACTATATACAAATAATTGGGTGCCGATACTATGAGTGTTGTGATTTTTAAGAATAGCGATTCTACAATATTGTGATTCGATTTTGCAATGTATTGTGATTTGTTTTTAACACTAGACTATGGAGAAAAGTTAAATCATACACTTATACAGACTGTACATGATGAATAAGATGAGTCATATTTACAAAAACAATTCATCACATCTCTGAGTTTTATTTCAGGAGCATCATACAGTAATACACTCTCTTGAATAAATAATTCAATAAATACATTTTTTAACAGTCACTTGTCGCCACCTAGTGGCAAAACAATGTAATTGATAAATGCATTATTTTAACGCATGATTCAACCGATGATTTTGTCAAAGGTTTAATAGACAGAAGAATTGGAAGAAGATCGTAAAACAGTAAACAAAAAAATTGCGATAGTTTGGTGAATCATTTTTTTCTCCCAGCCCTAACACACACACACACACACACACACACACATTCCTTTAAATGTTTACAAATACATTAAGCACACACACACACACACGTTTTCCATGTTTTATGGGGACTTTCCATAGAAATGATTTTTATACTGTACAAATTGTATATTCAATCCCCTAATCATAACTGATGTATTTTAACAACATGAACTAATGAGTATTTGTATATATTTCATATTGACAGCATTATGTTATTTATAGTTTAAGTGTTGTGTTTATCTCTGGATATAGGCTTAATGTGTGTCATTGTTCTCTACAGGTTGAGTAAGTGTGGAGTCACAGATGAAGGTTGTGTTGCTCTGGCTTCAGCTCTGAGATCAAACCCCTCACACCTGAGAATACTGGAGCTGTCTGGGAATAAACTAGGAGACTCAGGAATAAAGCATCTTTCTGATCTACTGGAGAATCCTCTCTGTAAACTGGAGGACCTGAGGTAAGATCATCTCTACCATAAAGACTCTGAGTGAATAAGGATTAATATGTAGATAGTAGGGGTGTGACGAGATTTCATCGAGTGAAAAGCTGTCTCGCGATATCGCCATGACTGAACGTGAGATTACCATAGAATATTCCACCGCTACACTCACATTCGCCTAAACTATCGTTTTGTTGTTTTATAAAAGAATAAAAACCATTATAAACTAATGTAAAAGTCTGCTCTGCTCATCCAGCGCGAGTTGCCGTTGCAATCAGTGCCGCACGAATCACAGTTCACTGATCGCGTGACGATGGCGGAGGATTCGTTGCGCAACATAGACTAACGTCTGATACATGTCTAATCTTGTAGAGTGTGCGCTCACACCGCTGCTCCCTATACACGAATCCGACGAGCGTTCTGTGTAGGCTGCCATCTTGTGGCGACGCCATTACTGAGCTGTTAGCGGTATGTAAACAAACCTCCGTGATAACGCACCCTCGATGACAGCTACAGCCAGGCAGAATGACTTGTTGGGTTGATGATGTTAGACAGTGGCCTCCAGTCACAGATGAAGGTACAAACGATCTTACAGATTATTTATGAAAATAGCTTGGCAAGCTAGCTAGGCTAACGTTAGCTAACGAGGAAACTATCAAAAGATCTGTCCATTTGGCAACAATAAATAAATGAATGACATCAAATAAACGAATTCATGTTTTTCATTTGTGTCCATTATTTATCTAATTTTCACATTGCAAAAGGCAAGGGTAAGGTACAGCTAGAAAGTATACATAATATCGACCAATTAGTGTTTTTAAACCATGGAAAGAGGTCAATATAACAGCAGGAGAACAATTATGTCACATAACGTTACATTTAGCTCAGGAAAGCCATTTAATGACCATAGCGTGTTAATTGAATAGAAAAAATAGCTAGAGAGGAGATTTTGCTGAGCACTATATTACATATTTATTATATTTTTTTACTTATGTCATTAAATAATTGTTATTATAACAAAAACTGCATTATATTTAATTTAATTTGTTAGTTTAATTTGTTATTTAAAAACAATTCTGTCAGAGTCAAGCAAATCAAACATTAACAACAGACATAACAGTAATGTTACTAACGTCACTGCCCCAATGCGCCCTTTACTGCCGCCACTGAAACAATTTAAACCGGAACATGTTTTCCCACTCGACATTATAAAAGTTGTAACGTTAGTGACAGTCGTAAATCGCGGGCTGTTTATTCCAGTGGACGCAAGTTGCAACTAAAACAATAGGAGGCAATGGCGCAACGCTACCCAGCAACAGCTCAGTTATGGCGCCCGCTTACTTCCGGTAGTTTCGCCGGATTCGTCTATACACAGAGTACGCGCGGTCACGAATTTGAAAGTGAAGGGTAAAACACAAGCTCCCTGATGTGCATTGCGCACAAATTAGGCTGCATATACATACAATAGTCTGTCTCCCAATACCCATCTCTGGACTGTTTATTTGCGGCTATGGTCTCAGTTTGCACTGTGAATATTGAGAGAGTACTGTAACGTATAAAGGACAACAGACAATTGAGGCTCCGTTTCTGAACTTATAATGGGAACGCAAGAACAACTGTAGAGACAAACACACCAGCCTCGTTTCTCTCTACCTATACCTATAACTGCTGGTGCAAAATAAAACCGCAATTTCACAACAATTATAAAGAGTCTGTGTGCTAACTTTGATTATGGTTGCACTTGCACTTATTGTTTGCACTTAATAAGACTAAGAGAAAACTGTTATTTATTTTTGTTATTTATACTGTTTTTATTTCTCTGTTAAATGTGTGTTAAGGAGTTCAGTTAGGAGGTCACACACAGCCTCAATCAGAAGTTCTGAAAGCTCTTAAATGTACAGTAAGGTCTGAAGAGACTAATGTGAAATCATACAGGAGAAAAGCCAGTCAATAAAAACCCTTTACAGTGCTTGTATATTGTTTTCTTTCAATGCATTTGGTAATTCATACTCATAAAGTAGACCTGAAATGACATGCATTAGAAGATTATTAGTTAAACATTGAAAAATGCACCTGCATACTATTTTTCCAGTCATGAATTTTGTCATTGAGGATTTCTGAAAAATTGTGCAAAAATCTCGTCTCGTCTCGTTCTCGTGAGATAAGCGTCTCGTCACACCCCTAGTAGATAGTGTGTACAATATATGTGTGGCGTAAGCCCCATCCGGGGTTAAAAATAATAATAATGCTATCAGTCAAATTCATCTTTACTTAGTTTATTTTGTGTTATTTTTGAGAAAGAAGAATCACTCCATCACATACAAAAGGAGCAATTACACTTAATGCGACCAGTTTGAAATAACGGTGACACTTTATCACAAGTATACAGTAACACAGCGCTTATAAATCATTCGCAAACTATTAGTTTATAATTAATGAACAGTATAAGAGTATATTGTAATATTTGTGGAGGAACAATAACACACGCAGAGACGGAGCCAAGTTGAGTGCCGTTTACTTCTGGTACAACACTGATACAGATCAGTTTCCGGGCGAGAGTGCCCACACCCCTTTACCGTATTTCCTCTAATACTGATACTATCATTACCATACAGTATAAACTACTACATATATAAGCTGTTGTTAATATATGAATCAGTATTACTAGATTATATTCTTATTATTAGACTGTATACAAATAATTGGGATAAATGTCTCGTCTCTCTCTCAGTATATGAGCAGCGCGAGGGCTTTCAGTGACTCAGTCCAGTGTTGACAACTATGTTCAGAGGAAAGTAGCTAACGCCTTCCCTAAGGGCTGTTCACACCTGGCCACTTCAAGCGTTTTCTGTGATGGGATAGCTATCCGATCGTGAAGAGACCAGGTGTAAATGCCCTGCGAAACACATTCCAGACGGATCCGATCGCTCAAACCACTTCAGGAGGAGGTCTGAGACCGTTCCAGACCAAACTGGACAAGTGTAAATGCATCTGGTTGTTGAATCCACATATGTACATTTTACTCCTCCCAAAAATGCTAAAAAATAAACATGTGAGAGCGTGTTATAGGCTTATGTCATGTTCTAGCCAGATAAGACTTGTTTGTTTCCACATATGTTAGAGCGAGAGAGAGAGACGGCAGGGAGAGAGCAAGAGCTCGCGCTCGCACCACTGACAGCATTTGGGGGTCACTGAGGTTTGACCAGAGAGACGCTAGATTTGTCGCTAGTCGCTTTAAAAAACTAAAATCACTAAAGGGGTCTGAAAAGTCGCTATAATAGTGACAAAGGCTGTGAGTTTAACACTGATTCAGTCTCACGCCGCTTCCACACGTCCACTAGACAGGGATATTACGACACTCATAGATAACCACACGCTTCAGCCTCTGTTGGAGCAAGAGTGGCTAACTTCTGTCAACCTCGGCTATAAGCGAGGAAGAAAATAAAGCCATTTCATTCGAATCAATATCGGTTCTGGAATAAAAATAATACATTTCAGATCGTAAACAAAAAAAATTGTGATAGTTTGGAGAATTGATTTTTTTTTCTCTCCAGACCTAACACACACACACACACACACACACACACACACATACATTCCTTAAAATGTTTACAAATACATTAAGCACACACACACACACACATTCCTTAAAATGTTTACAAATACATTAAGCACACACACACACACACACACACACACGTTAGGTTTCCATGTTTTATGGGGATTTTCCATAGTAATATTGATTTTTATACTGTACAAACTGTATATTGAATCCCCTAATCAATAAATCCCTAATCCGTGTATAATTCGTTCAGTCATTTTTTTATTTAATATTGAAAGTATAAAAAGTATTCTTTTTTTCTTCAAAATGAAAAACAAGAATTCATTTAGATTTTTCGTGTTTCGTTCTCAGGTAGAAACATTAATAACGGCTTGAATATTGGATTTCTACACGCGGGCGGGAATGAAACGCCCCTTTCCTCTGATTTATCAGCCGGAGATCAAACTGTGTCGTTTTTGGACAAAATTAAAAACACTAAAAAGGAACCGTTTTCTCATTTTTCTACTTTCAATATAAAAAATAAAAAATAAACTGTACGACTGATACACGGATTCAAACTGATGTATTTGAACAGCATGAACTAATGAGTATGTGTATATATATTATTTTAAGTGTTGTGTTTATCTCTGGATATAGGCTTAATGTGTGTCATTGTTCTCTACAGGTTGTGTGTGTGTGGAGTCACAGATGAAGGTTGTGTTGCTCTGGCTTCAGCTCTGAGATCAATCCACTCACACCTGAGATATCTGGATCTGACTGGGAATAAACTAGGAGACTCAGGAGTGAAGCTGCTGGAGGATCTGAGGGATGATCCACATTATAAACTGGAGATACTAGAGTAAGAATAGTTCTTAACGATTTTCATCATATTTTCATTTAAAGTTTAAATGGCTGTTTTACTCACTAGAAATAATAGTAAAGGTTCAGTGTGTGTGTGTGTGTGTGTGTGTGTGGGAATATTGTGTCTGAGATCATCAGATAATAAATCTTAAATTCAGTTTCTGCTTTGTTAGGTAGTTGTTACATGCTTTGGTGTGTGTGTGTGTGTGTGTGTGTATGAGATTATGCTGATTTGGTGGACAGGTTTGTGTGTGTTTAGAGAGAGACACACACTGAGTAAGATATACATCGTGAAGCAAACCACCAAAATAACAGTCGTCGCAAAATACACATTTAGTGATTTTATGGCGCTTCAGATTTGGTTTCTGTGCCGCTTCTTCTGTGTAAAGCCTTATGTGTGTGATAATCTGAGATTTGGGTTGTGTGTTATTAACTGATATTAAATGTGTAGTGAGTGTAATGATGATTTCTGCTGGTTCTGGATCAGCTGTCCGGTGTGTGAAAGTGACCTTTCAAGTGCTTTTGATTCTGTAAAGTGACTTTGAGCATCAGATAGAAGCGATATTATCATGTTTGAGAATGAATTAATATAGATTAACTAGTTAGTTTTCTTATG